CAGTGTAGTATAAACATAACTTTTTTAAAAAACATGCGCTAGGAAACCCTAACCCTACACACACACACACACACACACACACACACACACACACACACACACACACACTTTATTGCAGTAGTATGCCCACATTCCTAAAAAAGCAGTATCATACCGCTCACATTAAAAAAAAACACCCCAGCATCTATCTCACCTACCAAATCAAACCAAACCAAACTCACTGCCATGAGTCAATTGTGACTCAGCAACCCTGTAGGACCTGGTCGAACTGCCTCTGTGGGTTTCCAAGATTGTAAATCTATGGGAGTAGAAAGCTCCGTTGTTTTCTCTAGGATTGACTTGAGGTTTTGAATTGCTGACCTTGAGGTTAAGCAGCCCAATACATATAATCACTATGACACCAGGCCTCTTAGATCCCTACAGTCTTTGGGATAAAACCTTGGGCTGTGAGCCACATAGTTGGCAGTTCGAAACCACCAGCAGCTCCGCAGGGGAAAGACTGGGCTTTCTACCCCTGTAAACAGTTATGGTCTCAAAGCCACAGGGCTGACTATGAGTCAGCATTGAGTTTGGTTTGGGTTACCCATAGTGAAAGGGTCTTGAGTGGTACTTGTAGGGAAGAAATCTTATTCTCAAAGCATTCCATTGCAAACATTTACCACCCTATTAGGCAGCTTCTTTTTAAGGGACTGACTTGAAAGTGAATTATAATTCTTATCCGTTTCCCTAAAACAGCGATAATGACAAAATTGATTGTGTTATCCTCTAAAGCAGTGGTTCTCAACCTTCCTAATGCCATGGCCCTTTCATACAGTTCCTCATGTTGTGGTGACCCCCTGTGTTAGATAGGGTTCTCTAGAGAGATAATCCAGATTGCTGGTAATTTTATATATATTTATATATACATATATTTATAAAGTAGATATATATAACACAAGAAATGAACTGTTAAATTATAAACAGATAGATATACAAGAAATGAACAGTTAAATTATAAAGCAGTACAAATGGCTCAGTGCAACTCACTCCCGTGAGAGAGTTGTGAGACACTGGCAGTCCTTTAAGTCTTGAGGGCCGCCTCATAGTCCTCTGTAGAGAGAGCTAGGCTGTCCCAGCACAGGGCAGCAAATAGCAAGGCAGGTCACCAACTGTCAGCCAGGTCATCAACTATCAGTCTCCAGTTCAAGAGATGTAAATTTCAATCGTGTGGTCTTAAAGGGACCTCAACTTACAGCAACAGTCCACAGGCTAGGTGTCCCACAGGTAGTGTAGCCTGTAAATTGAGGCACAGAACAAGCAAAGAGCGAGAGACAAGAAAGGTGAGGCTCACCACGCCATTCATCTCTCCGCCCTTCAATTAATCCCACTTGTGTTTATCGGCCAGGCTGGCACAATAAATTCACTATCTCACCCCCCTAACCATAAAATTATTTTCATTGCTACTTCATAACTGTACTTTTGCTACTGTTATAAATCGTAATGTAAATATCTGATATACAGGATGTATTTTCATTATTACAAATTGAACATAATTAAAGCATAGTGATTAATCACAAAAACAATATGTAATTATATATTGTGAAATATTTATAAATGAAATTTTGTCTTGAAGCATGGGTAACAGTCTTCATGCCTGGTACTTGTATGTGGGCGTATCTGCATGTGGGCGTACCCGCCTGGAGACGGATAGAGGAGCAGTGTCTCGGTTCCTAAGACCATCAGAAATACGTGTTTTTGGATGGTCTTAGGTGACCCCTGTGAAAGAGTCGTTTGACCCCCCCCAAAGGTGTCTCAACCTGCAGCTTGAGAATCGCTGCTCTAAAGGCACAGCCTTGAAGCCATACACACTCTTCTGGTTTAGCTACTCTATCTTCAGTGTTCTTGTTCAGGTTATTTCATAATATTTCAAACCATGAAGATATCAAACTTTGTAAATGGTAGTTTTATATATGTGTATATGTATGTATATACACTATTAGACCCTTCAAAATCTTCCAATGACTTCCTATCACGTTTTGCTTCAGGAAAATTAGTCTAATCTTGTGATATTGTCCTGTGTTATGGTACAAAAGGGACCACATCTCAAATGTAATTTAAAGCGTATTATGCTATAAAGAGACAAAGACAACATAGAGACACAAACACAACATCTGGATGAGGGAGACTACCAACACAAGGTTCAAATGCTGTCCAAGTGTTTGTTGAGATCCAATACTTTATAAAAGGACATGAGAGGGCAAAGGAGACTGTACAAAAGCATGATTGGTAGCAGATCAATGCATCAACATTTCAGGTTGGATTTAAGAAGCAGGAAAGGGACCATGATTGGGAGACATACATTGTTAAATAGAATGGCTTGCAAGATAGGTCCAGGACCTCCCAAATGAGGCAGTCAGGGCAAGCCTGAAAAGGCATGACTGTGTAACCATCCCTGTGCCATCCAAAGGGTGCACCTAGCCCTGTGCCATCCATCAAGGGTGCACCTAGCTAAGGGCCCATGAGGGAGACTGCCCCCCATTGAGCTGACCTGAATGGCAGGGGGGCAATCTACTCTCCTAGGCATTCTACCTGATGGCAAGATTATCTCCATTCTTGGTTAATGATCTGACAGCATTCAAAGGAGGCTTAATCTTGGTAGAGACTGCAGGTGGATTTTGGGTTGTCACTGCCATACATACATCCAGCTTTTTGCAAACCAGAGTTTTCAGAATTTAAGCCCTAATCCACTAGTTACGTATGTATGACATATTCTTCTTTCTCCAGCCCCTTTTCACCAATTAGAGATGTTACAGTTCTTACTGATCTTTCTGCCACATGTATGCTTTTTCCATTCTTAAAGCCAAGATCAAAAAGGAAAAAAAACTGTGAACACATCTTTCAATTGATATAGTTAATGTTTGCGTTTGTGTTGGTCAGGGAAGTAACTGGTGTTCTCTTAGAGAGGATCCATTTAAGTTACTCTGTGCCAGTAAGGGGAAGAAAAGTCTGAAGTGACCAAGGTCTTTTTACAGGTCTGAACTGAAGACAGGGTTTAGAGTACTCACCTTATTTAGTATTGGGTTTGTGGCAGTGAATGAAAAACAAAACAAAAATACCCCTGTCTTCATGGAACTTGTTTGTTTTAGAAGGTGTAGCCAGACAGAGACCCAATAACATTTTAAAACATCATATGAAAGATGTGACAATTGCTTTGAAGGAAAAGAAACAGGAGCGGTGATTGGTGGGGAAGGAAAATGATTTCAAATGTGGGCATCACTGAGGAGATGGCATGGGAATAAACATTTCGGGCGAAGGGAATGTGAAGAGAGTGCTTCATCTGGAATGCCTCTTTGGAGGAAATATATTGGTGTACCTTGAAATGATAAGAAATACACTTTAGGCTTAATTTCAACATTTTCTTTTAAATCATTTTATTGGGGGCTCATACAACTCAGCACAATCCATACTCAACATTTTTTTCTTTGCTACCTTTTTTGCTACAGATGTTAGCAAGGGTTTGAAATTTTCATGTATCATTAGTTGTCAGAATTCTAAATAAATTGTTCTCTCCGAGAATCATAGATTTTGTATATCATTTGAAGAGAAATCAATTTAAAGTAAAAAACAAATGATAAAGTATTATCAATAATAACAGTGTAGTTGTGTGAGATGGAGTGGATTTCAATGTAGAACAGCCACACAGGACAGAGTAGATATGTTCCACGATTTCTTAGGCTGAAATCTTTATGGAAGCATCGGACCACTTCATTCTTCTAAGTCAGCTATTGGGTCCAGACTCCCGATAGCTTTTGGTTAACAGGCTAGCATTTAGCCATTGAGCTATAGTAACAATAATAATAGTAAAACTCTACGACCAAACCCCTGGACATTGAGTTGATCCTGACTTGCCCCTATGAAACAGACTAGAATTGCCTCCATAAGGTGTCCAAGGTTATATCCTTTATGGAAGCAGACTGCTACATCTCTCTTGACTGGAGAAGTTGGTGGGTTTGAATCACTGTCCTTTCTTTAAGCAACTGAGTATTTTGGCCACGGTGCCATCAGGGATCCATAAATAATATCAATCAGTAACTGTAACTGAGAGCATATTGAGCACCAGGCACCATGCCAAGCATTTAATATGGCTTATTTAATTTAGTCTTCACAACTATATAGGGTAGGTATAAAGTTCAATGGGGAAAAACGTGCAGAGTGAATGGAAAGGAACAGAAACAGTCAATGAATATAAGAGTAAATGAGTTGACGAATAAAATAGTTTTAGAAAAGCCTGTTGATTTAGTAGATTAGCAAGCCATGCATCCCTTGGGCCTCTTATCCAGTAATATGAAACCTACTTAACAGGAAGCCTGTACATATACACACACAAACACCTATGTGATCAGTGTGCACAATTACAACAACCACCAGACCTGTTACTGGATTGGCCATAAATCCTGGTTTGTCTGGGAGGGTTCTAGGCTATACCTGTTGACATGGTATAATTAGTAATGCTCATTCTCAGAAGTGTCCCCGTTTGGACATTAAGTTACATGGCGATTCTACTCAGATCCAGCATGGTTTATGAAAGGCTAGATAACAAGTGCAAACATGATCCCACAAACCAGCCACAAACCACAAGATCATCCTAAGAAAAAGAAGCACAAACCCTTCGTCCTCGAGTGGGTCTGGTTTCTTTACATTGAGTGTATGGTAGTGGAAGCCTGTGTGATTATGTGGTGAAACTGTGCACACACCTAGACTTTCTGAGGGATACCAGAGTGCCTACTCCCGATAATTACAGAGAAAAACGACCAATTCAAAGTGAGAATGGTAAGTATAGCAAATCTGGAAATGGCCTCTTAACTTTTATTATTATGAATTTGTTTCCATCTTGTGTGCATGTTTATGTTCAGTTTTAGCAAATTACATGATAGCATTTCCGAGGGCTTGTTTAGGGAAGTTCTATTTCATAACACCGTAGGTGATGCTAATAATTTTCTTTTTTCTTTTTTTCTCGATAGTCAAAAACCCCTTTGATGAAACATTTGGAAAAATACACGTAAGTTAAAGATAATGCTGGTATTTGGTACAATGTTTTATATGATTAAACATATTAGGGTCATTATCAACATTAAAAATAGTAATTTTTTTTAAGCTGAAGCCATTTTTTTTCTATTCTCATTCTTTATCATCAGTTGATACACATTTGGTCTTAATGAGCTGAACTGTTTATTGCCAATTTAATCTGAAACTCCACGTCTAAGTAAAGGCAGCAGCCTGTCTTCTGGGGACCTGGTGTCACCCTTAGAACTAATATGCCTGTTGTCATAAATGTTCTTACTCTCTTTGTCTTCTTTGCCCTCATCTCATCTCACCTTGGATTCTCTGCACTTTGGCAGGTCTCTTCAGTCACCACAAAGCCAAAGATTTTAGATAGTCGGTCTGTTGCATATGCTACCTGTTTATGAAGGGTCTCCAAAATGTTTGTAGACGTGGAATTAGAGGACAATGGAATTTTTCCCAAAATGTTTTAAAACCCCTTCATATGATTTCTTTTTCCTTTAAAGGATGCTAAATATTAATTTTAAACATAGGTTTATTTGCATGAAAATATTTTTCACCTAAAGACATTTTGAAGCTTAAGGTGATTTAACTTGTAATAACTTAATACACAGCTAGTTGGTTTTTTTTAATTATAGGAACTGTCACATAGACTTGTATAGTAAAAGTATTATACTGAAGTACATATGTTGTAATCATACTTAGATTGTTGGAATGGGACTTTTTTTTTTAAAGCACTATCATGGTCCTATTTGTTTGAAAAGAAAATTTTCAGTTGCAGTATTAAGTACAGTCCTGATTTTAATATAGGAACACAAGACTTTTATTTTCTGTATAATTTTCTCAGTGAGGTATACTAAAGTTCGGAACCTCTGAATGATATTTATAATGAAAGTAATGGCAATCCATTCATATTGTTTATCTTGTGTCATGCTGTGTTTAAAATCCATTATCATTTTGTCAGAGCATTGATACAAACAATTGTGTATGAGAAAATGTGTAGTCACCATGTAAGTTTGATAATTCCCAAGAATAAGCACTTTACTTTAGGAAATGATATGGGTTGCTTTAAGGAAATCTGAACTTTATCAAAATAGACCACTTGAAGTCTATTTCAAATTATAAAATTATTTTTGTTTAGTCAACGGTTACTTTTAATGGCTTATTTTAAATGTTAATTTATTTGTACACCTTTAACTAGTTTGCAGGGAGACTAAGGAAGCCAATAATTAGACATAACTAGATCATAATATAGTTGATTTTTTTTAAAAGATGATACCTCGAGGCTCTTGCAATATGATCTGGAAGTATTAATAATATTCACTTCTAATTATGTTCATTTTTATTTTGCATAAATTGCCACTGGCAACAGAAATCCTTGGGAAAAATTTTAGTATGTGTTTTTTGTGTGCTTAAATTGTGTATGAATTTAATAGTATATTTGTCATCTCACACAGTATTCGATCTGATTTCAACTCAAACTCCATGCCGTCTAGTCCGTTCTGCCTCATAGTGATCCTATAGGTTCTGTTATTCTACTTACCTAGTCCACTATTAACAAAATGAAAAATAAAGTTTGATCCCAGATCTGTAATGTTAATTAAAGATACAGTCACAGAAGACAAGTGCCTGATTTTGGGGTTTGGTTTGGTTTTTGAAAGGGGTATTTGTGTTGTGTATGGTAAAAACATGTGACGCAATAAAGAAATCTTTTTTCCAGATGAGAGGGAAGAAACATCCAAAACCTAGTGCTTTAACCTCAAATTTTAATTAGCTTCATCTTGCTTTTATATAACAAGTCCGCACATTAGACTATCTTTGGGGTGCCTCCTGCTCCTCCTATTAAGTTGGGGGTATTTATTAAAAATCAGTTTTGTGTTTTAATGTATCACAACTGCATACCTTGCAGAATCCTGAACCTTGGTCTCTACAATTACTTACATGACTTGATTTTTGCCATTTGGATTTTGGTGTTTATGCAAAGATAAGATCTATGTTTATTTAGAAACTGGTTCTGATAGAGTTGAGGAGGGAAAAAGGTGTTGGAAAGCAAGTAGTCAAAATGAAGAAGTATGTCACTAATCTCTCACAATCAGCACACACGAAACTACTGTAGTAGTAGGATCTTGGAGCCTTTGATGAGCTTTCTTATTTTGGGATCACTGATTAAAGTTAGGCTTCCTCTGTTTGCATTGTCCCTGCAGAAAGGTTACCTCAACTTCCAACAGCCTTAACACTGCTCAGGATGATACACATGCTGGCACCAACCAGTTTGTGGGTGTTGCATTCATCAGTGACTGAGACTTTCACAAGGATTGGCAACATGAAAGCTTTTTATTATTACTGTGAAAACTGGAGCTCCTGTAAGGCAGAAACCTGTCAGAGGGGGAAATTTAAAATATTTTCTACTGAAAAAGCTTGTTGGAAAATGATAAGCTTGCACCCTGTTAAAAGTAGGGAAACTTTGAGACCCAGGGAAAGAAAATAGTCTCATCAAATTCTAGCATATACCGGTTTTGTTATATTTATAGAATGCAAACAATAAATCATGACAACAGATTTTCAAAGAGAAAATGTGTATCCTTCCCCAAATCACCCAGAAGAAGCCCTGCTTGACCCAAAGATCAGCAGTTGGAACCCATCAGTCTGTTTCGGTTCAGATTTATAGCCTTGGAAACACTGGCGATGTGTTCTACTCTGTCCTGGAAGGTCTCTGTGAGTTGGAATCGACTTGAAGGCAGTAGGTAGCAGATATTTTGATATTGCTGGGCAGGTGCCCTGCAGTTTAGATCGGATGCTATGTTCTGGGTATGACTGCACTGCCCAATCTTCTGCTCTGCCCTTGAGCCTCCCTGGGTTTTGTCCTATTGGAGGAAGAGCCCTGAAGGATATCCCCTGAGCCTCTGTCCCAGGCTCCTTCCTGCTACCCGATGCTCAGGGCTTTGTTTTAGTTTGATTGAAAGTTTACAGAGAAAATTGGTTTTCCATTCAACAAATTATACATGCTTTGCTTTATGAAATTGCCACCTCCACATTGTAATAACATTCTTCCTACCTCCTTCCTTTGTTTACCACTTCCATTTATACTTCTTTCTTGTCCATTTTTGCCTTTTCATTCAGTTTTATCCCTGGGCAAATTCTACCCTTTTAACCTTGTACGGTTGATTGTTCTCAGGAGGGTGTACCCCTCTGGTGTATTTTTCACCTGGTAGACCTGTGTTTGCCTTAAAGTTGAGCCATGGGGGTGAGTTAACTCCTGGGTCTGAAGAGTGATCAGATGCTAGCTCTTGAAATGGATGACTGTTGTCCAGTCCTTTTTGATACAGCGACTGTATTTCATCTTCTTTTGATTATTCCTGTATTGTTCAATATTTTGCCCATAGAATCCTTTCAATAAATATTGCAAGTCTTGGGTTTCACCAATCCCCATCAGAGCAAACCTGTTTTGTTTTTTGCTATTTTTAGGATTCTGGGTTCTGTTCCAAGTTTTCCTCTCACTTTTATCCAGGATCCCTCTCAAAACAATTGGTAGTGGTAACTGGGCACCATCTAGTTTTCCAGTCTCGAGTGGTGGAGCCTGAGATTTTCATGGCTTATTCGTCCTCTGAACTTGGATTTTTTTCCCCCCTCTGCTGCAGATGGGGAGGCATAAATATCGGTACACTAGGTGGCTGCTGGCAAGCTTTTAAGATCTCAGCTGCTACACAGCAAAGTAGAATATAGAACGCTGTCTTTGTGGACTGTGAAGCTTGATGTCCTCCTGTGGGTTTTCTTACTGCCAGGTTACTAGACCCCTATTGCCCAAGCGGGGGAGAAAGTGGACAGCCTCTGTATGGAGTACCCCCAGTCCTTCTTACCTTGCACAAGCAAATGTTATAGCTCTGAGCTCATGCTGGCAAGCCTCTGCTGCCCAAAGGCATATGTCTCCATCTTGCTATAGGAAGAGCCCTGTTCAGGATCCTGTGAGGGAGGCATCACTGCACAGGCCACAGCAGGCCCCTGTTTAGCAGGGCAAGTGGCACAGCTCTTTTGACTTCTTCAGCAGGCCGACAACGGCCCTTGCTGCCACTGTCTCATCATCTTATGCCACCTTCAGTATTCCCAGGTTTATTCTGGGCCCAGGAGGTTCTCAGTGAGTGTAGGGACCTGGGGTCCTTGGTCAAAAGGATGTGCTCCACTCTAGACTTGTCTTAATGGTAGTAAGGTTCCACTTTAAGCTCTGTGGATTAACCCATATATAAGCAAAATCTTACTTAGTCAATTAATTTAAAGGCATTTCTCTGCCAGCCAGACCGCAAAATCCCCAAGGTAAACCATAAGTTACTTAATTTACATAGCTCAACCAATAATTTGTTGTAATTTTGGGAAATTACAAGACCATAACTTGAAAGGTCATATAAAAGCAATTCATTGTACCTTTAACTACATGTCACCCTTTGGGGTGGTTTTCTTCTGCCCTTGAACACACAGCATGTAAACAAATAGATAAGATTGCATTCTCAGTGCACTGCCCTCACTCAAATTGATTCCAGCTCACAGTGACCCAACAGGCACAGGTTATTTTCCTGGCCTTTCATCATCTGCATTTGCTCTTTACTCACATTTCTTAAATAGCCTCCTTTTCTTAGACAGTTAAGGAAAAAAGAAAGCAATAAAGTTACAATCCCGTATGAATCATGACTTTATTTCATATAGCTTTTATCTACCTATCACTTAGGAGTTCCTTTAAATTGCACTTGCTCCTAAATTGGAGACCTTGTTGTTTTAGACGACTTGGGAGGGTGCTTACTTAGACTGTACCATTATAATAGTTTTCTTCTGGGTTCCTTTTATACGATAGAGCTTCAACATTTTTTTGGAAAAATAAAATGAAAAGATAATGGATTTTCCCATGAACCATTTCAAGCCCTTTTGCATAGTCATTTCTGTTTCTTGACTAAGGTAACCTATATATTATGGCCAGAGAAATATTCGTGATGCATAGTCTGTTTGACTTTCCTCTGTCTACATTTTCAGAAGGAAATCAAACTTTGTTTTGGCATCTAGGGCTTTTGGCAGTTGAGGCCAGACCACTTTACCAGTGTTTGCTCAGTTAAGCTAGGCTACTGGTTATGTCCAAAATGTCATCTGTGCCTTCATGCCCTGATGCTTGTGCTCAGGTTGTTCTGTTTGCTTGGTATTCTGGTCAGCTCTGTTCTTCCTGGGAAGCCCAGTTCATGTATTCTCTTCCATAAATGGGTCTTCCCTTTCCAGCCTCTATTTTGCTGGCATTGTACTTGGTTTATAATGGCAATATAGCAGTTGATTAGTATCTGCCCCTGGGAGCAAGGCGCCTTCTTGTTCACTACGTTTCTGACTTTGTGGAGAACAGCTTTGAACTCCTAGAAGATCCTTTTCATTCGCCCCACTCTAATGATATGTAAGATTATACAAGGCCACTTTGGGAAGCCAGGAGAGACTGAGGGCCCGTCATGACACATGTCAGTATCTTTCCCTTGTTTTCATGTGGATTGAATCATTTGGAAAATCTTCAAGGGCAGCCTTGAAGAAAACAATGTTTCATAAGAACAATAGCATAAACATACAATGTATAGAACTAGGGAGATTGGGGGCTCTGTTGTGATGGTGGGAGAATAAAGAGTTTGATGTGTGAGACCTTTATCAGTCCTCATTTTAGTGCCAAATTCACTGCCATCCTGTTCGTAAAATATTTTGGATAATTAGGTTCCTAGGTTAAGGCTTCTTTAAATATAGTAGCCATTATTTTTAAGTGTGGCTTTGTCTTTTGGATAGTATAACTTCTAAGTGTTTGGAATTTTTTGAATAAGATAAGTTATGTCACACTTTTTTCAGAATTGGGTATTTTATAATCACTTTTCTTAATTTTAGGGAAATGAAGAAAATCTTATGATCACATTATACAAGCTTCATGATCGATTGGCACAACTTGCAGGTACATGTTTTAACATTCAAAATCTAAAATAATTTGGAAATTTTGCATATGTAGCATGCTATGCAGTAGAAGTTGTTTTTCTTACTTAGGTCCAGTGTTATATTTGCGGAATGTTTTCTCCTTAGAAGTTATTACCTAGGTGGAGCGGATTTTTATTTTCATAGTTATATTTAATCGCCTTTTTCTGCCGTATGTATTGTACGCAGTTTGTACATGCACACACTAGTGTATAAATTTAAAGTGAATCAGATTTCTCGCAATAGTAACAATTCTGAAAGTTTAAATATCTGTTGAATTGGGTTGGCAGTAAATTAACTAAAATTCTGGATTAAATCTAAGTGTAGATTTTACTTTGGTGTTTGGATAAAAGAAATCTAAATGAATAAAATCTATTTTCTTACAGTTTGTTATTTCCATTTTACTGCATTTTCCTTATATTCTGTTATTAGAATAATGATATTTCAATAGGTATTAAGTATAACATACAAATATTATTTTCTAGCCATTTTTAGTTACTTTTAGCTTCATATATATTTTGAAAATTAATGTTTTATATTCTCTTTTTAGAATTAGTTACAAGAAACAAAAAAATACCATTTTCCAAATTTCTGTGCACGCCATGTCCTTTTGTGAAACCCATTATTGGTAGAACCCTAGTAGTAAAGTGGAACTTACTTGGTTACATGAGTGCGTTTAGGATCCTGACAGTTTCTTGTTTTCTCTCCAGTCTTGACTCCCTCCCCCGTGCCTCCTTTGACTGGGGGAAGGGAGGATTTCCTTGATGCTAGTCAGTATTTTGACTTAAAATCATCTTTGACATTGATTGCACATTCATATTCATACTTCATATGTGTGAATTAGCTCAATTGGCATCTTTTGCATTGATTGCACAGTCATATTCATGTGCTACTAACTAGTGACATTTATTTGGTATGCTGTAGTGCCCAGAATTGAGTTAATTCAATGAAAGGGCTTTTAAATCCCATGGGGAAAATGTACTATCTTTTAATTCCATTTTCTCTGCAAAATTTTTGAAGCCCCCTTGTGTTCTTAAGGAAGAAATTTCATGTTGGTACCACACCACAGCTTCCCTGGCTGGTTCTATAGCATTGTTTTATATAGTACGGGCTTTGGCCCATTAGCTCAGCATACTACTGTAGGGCACTTTTAGATAGGTAGATATCTTTTGAGGCAAGGGGTCAACAAATGTTTCTGTGAACGGTCAGACAGTCAATGTGTAGGTTTTACGGGTGACTCTCACAACTCACAACCTCTTCTGCCAGTATGGCATGCAAGCAGCCAACCGCACGACATGGATGAGGGAGCGTGGCCCCGTTCCAGATAAACACCAGTGGCAGGTCATCTATGGCTCATGGAGCTGTACTTTGCTGACCTTTTCTTTAGATGTATATGTGTCTCTGAGACTGAATTTTAAATTTAGAGATGTTTTCATCTAATTAGGTACTTCCCTTTTTGTAGCTACCACCATTAAAATCTGATATTTGAACAAAACTGATTAAAAAATGTGCTTAGCTTTATTGCGGAAGACTGTCGAGAATTTTATTTTAACTATTAGTACTTCCATGTTGAGATTTTGTAAACTACATGACAGAAAAGAACCCTAGAATTGAAGTTCATTAAGGATAATTTATCTTTATATGTATGTGTGATACATATGGCCTAAAACATAAGACTTTGGATTTTCTTCTAATAAACAGTTACATGAAAAGAAGGAAATCTCATTTTCTAAACTTTTGTGTTCAGTAGATCCCTTCCTTTGTAGAAACCTAGTCATAGTTAGAAGCTTCATAAAGAAGCTTTCTCTTAACTTACCTGTTGATCTGTGTTATTGCCATTTTTAAACCAAACCTGTACTGAAAGCTTAGCTACACTCTGAAAATGGGCATATTTTAGTTCACTGGTAATTCAACCTTATTTGAGCCCTTGAATTTTTAGCTTTGAGAATATATAGATGTAGGATTTAGCAAAATTAATTAGCTGAATTTTTCTCCTTAAGAAATATATCTAATACTTACCTATGGAAGGCCTCCACATTGTGTCTTGGCTTCTATATGGTGTGGCTACTACCCTGGCTTACATTCCAGTTGAGAATTAAGAAGAAATGATCTTATATAGATTAACATGTATTTAAAGATATGGCCCATGTAAAGGTCATTTTATTTATGTTACTTCTTGTAAATTTTAAACTGAAAATATAAATAATATAGGAATAAATAAAAATATTGCTACAAATCACAGAAACCTTTATTAAACATAAATGGCCATTCAGACCTTTCCATCTCTCCAGCCCTTCCAAGGAAAGAATTCTGTGCTTTTCCATTTATACCACATCAGAAATGGCAGCTTTGACATCCTCAAGGTCTTCAGATTGTGTTTTATTTTCTATGTACTTTTCAGTTTGGAGAACAAAAAAGAAGTGCAAAAGCAAGATCAGGGCTATAGGGTAGATGAGGGTAAGGTTTCCAATGAAATTTTCTTGAGACAGCCCTTAGTATCCTCAGAGAATGAGCAGGTGTGTTGCTGTGATTGGAAAAAAATGTCTCAGTACAATTTTCTTGGCCATTTTCTCATTAATGCAGTTTTCAATGTTTTAAAATTTTCTAATCATCCCCCACAGTCAACCTGTGACCATAGAGAAAATCTATTATGAGTTTTCCTTTAGAAACCAAAAATCAGTTGCCATAGCCTATATGCCTTCAATTGAACTGACCCAGAGGCTTCCTTCCCTCAGAAGCTATTGTTTAGATTGCACCTTTTTTTTTTTTTAAGGCACCCTATTGAGACAGCAACAAATGTGTTACTGAAAGAACTTCTCTGCCACCATCTACTGATTACAGAGGCTAGTTTAAACACATTTCATTTCGAAGAAACCAATACTTGTATGAACTGGAACCTAAGTAGTAGTGCTTTGGAGCTTACCTTCATATTATCAGTTTCCTTTTTTTTGCTGATTATAATTTAACCCAAAGTTGCGTAACATATAGAATATTTTGAATTAGTCATTTGTTTGAGTCACATGATACTGATGTAAAACTAACTCTTTGTTAATATTTTTAGGGGATCATGAATGTGGCAGTTCTAGTCAGAGAACACTTTCTGTCCAGGAGGCAGCGGCATATTTAAAAGTAAGCCGGAAAATTAAAGTTTTGATCGTTATGTTCTTAAATTTTGTTTAGAATATTACTATTTAGATATCAGAAGTATCATATGTAACTGCTTTAATTGTATTGTTTAACGTTTGGGCCTATTCTTTGGTGTCAGTGTATGCAAATCGGGGAAGGAGAATTGTTCTCCAGTTTTATCTTCGGGTACTAAGAGAACATGCTGATGATTTTGCTAAACTGCATTAAGTTATCTTAGCAAAGTTACTAGTTACTAGTGAAAGCAAAGTTACTAGCAAAGTTAAAGATGGACAAGTGTGATTCTGATTTTTAAAGGGGGAAATGGATTTTGAAAGTCATTGTACAGAACTTAGTATCAGTCCAGTTAGAATAATTCCATGAAGGTAAGGGTACTTGCAAATGGAAATGAGACTGGCATGTAACCATTGTCATATATGTTAGATCATACAACTCGTATCACAATCCATACATAGATCAATTGTGTAAAGCGCATTTGTACATTCATTGCCCTCATCATTCTCAAAACATTTGCTCTCCACTTAAGCCCCCGGCATCAGGTCCTCATTTTTTCCTCTCCCTCCCCACTCCCCTCTCTCTCATGAGCCCTTGATAATTTATAAATTATTATTT